CTGGGAGGGCGAGATGGCACTGTACCATTTTGAGTCTTAATAATTTATACTTCGAATCAGTCAAACGCAAGCACCGTTCTTTGTATTCCTGATTCCAGGCTTGGTGCCTGTCTGCCTCTCTCAGGCCTTTCTCTCTTGTGCCTTTGTCACTGAGTCTTTCTGATTCTCCCAGATGTAAGGAGTCCAGGAACAGGCCGACTTGGATTAGTGGTTGGGGATCGTCCCATGTCTCTGAATGTCAGATTCTCATCTTTAAAGTAGAGACAATGGTACTGATATTGTTGAGTTGTCGTTAGGATAAACTGAAACTAAGTACACAGCAGGGAACTCAGTGTGTGGCTGCTGACAAGTGCTTGGCAAATGTTAGTTCCCTCCCGTAGCCCAATGCGTGCCACCCCTGTGACTGTTAGAGTTGGGTTGGCTTCCTTTAGTGTGGCCTGCCCTCAGCCCATTTTCAGATCAGCCAATAGAGCCATGACCGGCTGGGACCATTTTTCATCCAACTGCTCTCGTTCTAGCAGTTTCATGTGGCCTCTCTCTGTAAATCAGTCTGGGGAAAATAAATGTCCCCAGTCCATTAGTGCCTTTCCATCACAAGCCAATCTGAGCCACAAACCAGACAAGGCTTGTTAATGGCCACTTAAATATATTTCTGCAGCCCAGCCTGGAGACCCTCGGCCTCAAATCCTCCTAGCTTCCGTCCAAGAGAAGTCTCACTGGGACAAGATTTTTGGCAGCAAAGGCGTAGACCTGACCCTTAGCAGTTATGGGGGGGACCATGTACCCTAATCTGCCTAGAACAATTCTGATCTGTTCCTGCTCCAGAGTAATTATTAATCAGTGCCCCCTTTAACACCCCAAAAGGTCCAGTTTGAATTATATACTGTACATGGTAGCTGTGGAAACCAAGAATAATAGTTTAAATAATAATAGCAATCATTTATGAACCACTTCCTATATGCCAGGCATCACCAAAAAGGTCTTTATACACTGTATCTCATTTCAGCTCCATTACAGCACTGTAAAGGGAGGTGCTATTATTATTTCTATTTTATAGATCAGGAAACTGAAGTTTAGAGAAATAAGCAACATGCTCAAGGTCAACCAGCATAGAGGGCAATGTCTGCACCTCAGTCGGATCCCTTTTTCCAGGGCAGTACACCCATCCCCCCACTGCTGGAAGTGCAGGCAGCTCCTGGCTCAGTGGGGCGCCCTAACCCCCATCCCTCTTCCAGAGTAATGGAGCTCAAACAGAAGCGTGGCACAGTGGGGGAGGGTTGGGGTGGGTGTGCGTGTGTGTGCGCGCGTGCACGCGCGTGTGCGCTTGTGTGTGCATGTGTGTGTGTGCGCGCGCAGGGGCACAAAGTCTTCCCTATTGCTTCAAGGTCAAACTGACTCTATGTACAATCCATGCTCCAGAAATCCTGGTGGGAGCCAGGGGAGACTAAATCCTTGCCTCGCTCCTTCCTTGTCCTGCTTCCCTTGCTCCCATTCTCCTGAGAGCACCCCCTCAATCAACCACTTAAAGAAGCATCTCTGTCTTGGGCTCTGCCTCTAGGGGGCAAGACCCAAGATCTATGGTTAGCAAGTGGCAGGGCTGGGACTCATGTCTAGGAAGGTCTCCCTCTTCATCACGGAGCAAATGTGACAGGACGTTGCCTATATTATCTACATGATTTAAATGATGGCCTCCAAGTTATCAGATTGTCAGGAAGTCAGTCATATAGGCGTAGATACAACAACGATGACAACAGCCACAACAACTACTGCTTATTTAGTGCCATTCTCTTTCTTGCATCTGATCGTCTCAACAACATAGGTTCATTGAATTCTCTGCATTTTGCAGCTGAGGCATGGCAAGCTTGTAGAAGCTGAGATGTGTCTGTTGAGGTCACACAGGTAGGAACTGATGGGGCTTGGGTCTACATCCAGATCCTTCTTCTTCCAAAGGCCGTGTGCTTTTTCTGCTTGGCCACTTAAACTACTTGCTGTGTAAATTGCTCAGTGAACGGTTGATTAAAGGGGTTCCCCATCAAAGCTGATGCTCTTGTAGCAAATTAGAAGACTCTGCAATCCCTCCCACCCTGCACTCTCCAAAGTGTTTCTTTTTGAGCTGTATTTGACCAGCATAGCTCCAATTGGGGAGAAAAGCCATATTACTCTGGGAATCACCAGAGAATGTTCTCTAAAGTCAAACATAAAAAGATCAAAGGAACCATATTCATTGAAGAAAGTAAGAAAAGCAAGCTTGCATGCCAAAGGTCCAAAGAGGTAAATCATATTTCCTGTGGCTCTTCCATGGAGGAAGACAAGATGGAATAAAAGGAAAACAGCAGAGCTTTAAGGAGAGACAGACCAAGACTCAAAACTTAACTGTACTCTCTGTGTGATGTTTTTAGCATATTACTCAACATCTCCAAGCCTCAGTTTGCTCTACCATAAAACCTATCACACTGGACCATAAATGAGAGGGGGTCAATGAAACAAAATATGCATTTCCCTGTACCTCTTCTCTTCCATTTCCATAAAATTTATAGAGTAACCAACTTCGACCTTCATTCCAGGTCTGAGTAATGCTAGTTCAGATGGACTATGCTTTATTCCCAAGCAAACAGCATATCCTATTTGATGATAAGAGGTTCCCATTAAAAATAGAGAGCAGATAAAAGGGGGACCTTCATCCAGGAAGCCATCAGCTGATTCATAAAAATACAGAATGAGTCATCCTGGCTCCCAAGGCTAAACTTACAATCACTAGGCATCTTTGGCCAGCTGATTGTAGCCCAGTGGAGGAGGAAAGGCCCAGAGGGCAATCTTCACAAACCTACTTCAGTCCCTCCTTGCAAAACTGATTAACTCTGCTTCCAGCCTGGGGAAATGAAAATCAGTCTGGGCCCTTTGCAATACTGGATCCCAAATGTTCCCCCATTCCTCGTTGGCTTTCTGAGCACCTGGGGTGGGGAATCTGCAGTGATTCGTGTGTGTGTGTGTGTGTGTGTGTGTGTGTGTGTGTGTGTGTCCGATAAAGAAAAGGCTGGTGCATCTGGCTTTGAAAAGCAATCTCCTGGCTTTCAACTTGACATTTATTATTTCAAAATGCTTCAGTTCCTATCAGTATCTATGTAATTAGCATAAGACTAGAGAACCCAGACCTATTTGTACTGCAAATGATGCTCTTTTCTTTAAAAAGTAGCTTCAACATTTTCGCTCTCTGAACATACCCTGAATGGAGAGTCATAATGAAATACACCCATACACACACACACAGACACACACAAAATATTTTTGATCTGTGGCTAAGGAAGGAAAATTATCAGTATATAGTTTTAGTTTTACGAAGCAGACATTCTTATACCAGCAAGTGAAGAAAAATAAGGACTCAACAACTCTGGTCCAAGCGTCTTTTCTTACTCCACTCATCCAGCAATAATTTAGTCCTTCAGCATAAGGACTAAGTGTCTGACAAGCACTAGGCTATGCTGGACATTGGGGATTTGTTGGTGAAAAGGGCAGACGTAAGCTCTGTCTTCTGGGACCAATCAGCTTGGTTCACAGAGTTAACAAAACAGAATTGTACCGGATCCCCCAGTTTGCAAAATCCTCTTCCCTTACCCTGAATTCCCAAGAGTCATGTTTAGAGGCAACTGTGACCTGCTATATGTGTGAGGAATGAGTCAGAGACCAGCGCCCACTTCTCTTGCCAGCTGCCTTCCAGCCTGGCATGTGAATCCTGCACCTGCTCCCAAAGCAGTGAATGGGAGGAGAATCTCCTTTGCATTTTTCTTGCCTCTGCATATGGTCCCAGAGTCCAGGTTTGGGGTCTAACCTAGGAACAGGTAAGCCGACTGCTACTTATGGGAGCAGCATCTACTGGGGGCTTTAAAATACAGACATGAGAAAGGGTAAGTCCATCTCACTGTGCTGAGAGCAAATTCCCCTTAGGTGCTTCCCACGCTGCTGCATAAAGAACCCAAGAGTGTTGGGTCCAGTGAACCCTCTGCGGTGAGCGGTGAGCCCTCCCTCCTAGAACTTCAGAGAAATGACCCGATAGTGACAGCACGCAGAAAGGCTTAAGCCCTCCAGAGCGAATCCCAGCTGGGAATAACTCTGAAGTTCCCCCAGGAGGAGTGGGGAATGGAAGGACACTCAGCTGCGTTTGAGATGGGGATAGTTCTGAGAAGATCGTGGGTTGTTTGTTTATTTTTCCACTTTGGAGAAGCACAGAAGACGCTCGTGGGGGAAAAGGGGAGCCTTGGCCTCACTCCTCACTGAGCTGAGATGCTCCAGGACCTAACCCCCTGCTTCCCAGTGCCTTTCTCCCTACCAGGGCATCAGAGGGACAGAGTGCAGGAGTGGGGAGAGAGAACGCACTTCCCCAGCCCTGCACTCTGTTGGCAGCAGAAACCCAGCACAGAGGTTGAAAAGATCGAGTAGCAAATCCTAGCCTGGTCAGTTAGTAGCGGCAGCGAGATGTTGGGCAAATCACTGTCTGCGCCCTGGTCTCCTCACCTGAAACGGGGTGTAATGATGGTACCTAACTCATCGGGTCCCAGCAAGTATTAAATAAGATCGCACACGTAAGACTCTAAACACGAAGGCTGGTACACAGTAAGCCGACGGTTATTATTTTTTAACCGTGTTAATCAAACTCCCTCTCCTGGCAGCCGGGCTGACCTACCCGACGGAGAGCCCCCGGAGCGCAATCTTCCAGACCACAGTGCTGGGCGCCACCATCCACCGCTTTCCTCCCCCACGCAAGAGCTCACAGTCCCCTCCGGTCACCCCTAGATCCGGCTTGGCGAGGGCGAGGACCACCTCGCTGCATCCCCCCCAGCGTCAGCCGGCCGCCGGCAGCGGGAGGGTCTGAGACCCGGGAAGGGCGCGGAGGAGGCGCCCACGGCCACTCTTCCCCGCGCAGCGGCCCCGCCGAGGCTCCGCCACCCCCGCCCCGGGAACGCCGAGCGCGCAAAGAGAAAGCGAGAAAGACGCGGATACTGGACCAGGCTTTGACGCGGATCTTGAGCTCGCCGTCCTGCGGCTCAGGCATGGCCTTCCTGGTGACCCGCAGCTTGTTGAGCCCCCCGAAGCCGGCCAGCACCACGGCGCGCATCTCCTGGGCGTCCCCGAGGCGGTGAGAGCCGCCGCCGCCGCCGCCCTCAGCAGGCTCTTTGCCTGCCTCCTTCTCGATCATTTGCTCCGTCTCCTCCGCCTTCTCCACGCCTTCCTTGGCCATGGCGCACGGGGGCGCGGGGCGCACGGGCTGCGGCTGCTGCGGCGGTGGGCTCGGGCTCCTCTCCCGCGGGTTCCTCCTGTTGAATGTGGGATGCTCGGCTGTGCAATGGCTGCAGCCTCTGCGAGCGGCGCCAAGGTCCACAGCCTCCGCCGTAATCCTCGCAAGAGCCGCGCCCCCGCCGCCCCCTCCCGCCCCCGACCCCGCTGCCTGCCTCTCTTCGCTGCCCAAGCGGAGCCTTAACTCCAGTCCCAGAGCCAGTCTCAAATCGGGCTCTTGATCGAAGCCCCGGGGCCCAGACTTGCCCAAGACTCGTGGATAAAGCACACAGAGAGGACGCAGTGTCCTCCGCGGTGGGCGCAGTACTTTGTTATTTACGGCGCAGGCTCGGCGCCTTGAAATGGACAGAGAGGAATGTCTGGGCCTGGAGGATGCCTCCGGGAGTCCGGGTTGCCGCCTCTCCCGCAGATCTGCGGGGGCCCGGCGGGGCAGACGCGAAAGGGGGCTGTTTCCCAAATCGCTGGTACCGGCTGGAAAGGGGAAGAGGTTCTGGGAAGCGGGAAACGAGAAATCCCACTTACTCCCCTGAAGAGTCTAAACCAGGGTCTTTTCACTCCAGACCCTCTGGGTCAGTGCAGATGTTCTTTACCAGGCGTCGCCAGGAACCTCTTATGATGGCTAATTCTCCCTACCCGCACCATTTTTGGCCATCAGAGAGGTTTCAGAAAAGAATTCTGTAGCAGGAAAGGGTCCTCTTTTTGTTTTGATCCCCAGAAGATCAGTGTACACTCCCTCCCCAACACACACACACACACACACACACACACACACACACACACACAGAGAGACGCACTCACACAGTAACTGGCTTTTTGGGTTTTATTATAAGCCCTTTGAAAAGGAACTTATACAAAAACCTGGACTTTTGGGGGGTGCTTGGGTGGCTCATTAGGTTAAGCGTCTGCCTTGTGCTCAGATCCTTGGATGGCACCCCCTGCCCATGGAGGGTTCAGGTGGAAGGAGATTGCCTTGCAGCTGTTTATAGAAAGATTGTAGTGGGGGCGTGATAGGTTTATATTCTACTTCCTGTGCAGCCACTGCCAGCTTTGGGACCTTGGGCAACTCACTCAACCGTTCTGATCCTCAGCTCCCTCATCCATAAAAAGGGTACATTACTTAGGGTTATTTGCATTGTGCTAAATGCTGGGGCAGGTAGGACTTTCAGTGACAACATGGTCTTTACCTTTAAGGAGCTTATTCTCAAGCATGAAGCAGGGAGGACACAGCCAACAAATAGAAATGACACAGCGAATGGTCTGAGCACTTCTTCCATTCTCCCTGTGCCTCTCTTCTTTTTCTCAAAAATAGTACTGTGTTCCCTCCTACCACGTGTGCCTGGAATGTATGTGCCACTTCTTCATCCGGTGTTATCTTCTACTTCACTTTCAACTTAAGCACCCATTCCATGTATCCACAGGTTGGGTCTGCATCCTTTATGGTAAAACTCTCATGGTAGTTGTAATGAGCTTTTATACGATCACCTGATAATGAACGTCCGTTTCCTTTTTCCAACTGTGATCTCCCTGTGGGCAAGAGTGATTTCTGCTTTTATCCAGCATGGTTTCCCTGGGGCTTAGCGCATGATTGGTACATAGTAGAAAATGCTCAGAAGAGCCTTTGTTGAGTGAATGAATGAGCCAGTGAATCCACATGCTACTGTGGGAGCCCATAGGAGGGAACCGGCTCATGGAGTTGGAGAGGTCCTGCGTGGAGTTGGAGAGGTGAAGAAGTTTGAGCTAGACCTTGAATGGTAAGCTAGGTTCCTCAGAGAAGATTACAGGCACGTTCAAATACATGGAAAGGGGACAGGTGGAAGGAGAAGGCACTTCTTGCTCTTTGTGGGCAGACCATCGGTGTGGTTAGCAGTCACTGGAGACTGGGCTGGAAGATTGATTGGAACCAGCTTTTGAGGTGTTTTACATACCATGTTTTAAAATTTAAGATGTAATTGTGGAGGCATTGGGGGCCACTGAAGTCTTTAAAAAACAACGAACAAACCAGGGAATGGTATGACTGTATTTTAGGATAACTTTGGCACTAAGTGGGTGGTGGATTAGACGGTAGGCTTACTGGAAGTGTGCAGATGGCTTAGAGACTATGGTGCCGACATAAATAAACAAACAGAAAAATAGGAAGAGCCTTAACTGAGGCGGTGGCTATAGGATAGAAGAAGGGCTGGATAGGAAACTGAACAGACGAGGCTGTTTGGTGAATTGAACATGTCGTTGTGAACCCAACTGTCCAAGTTGGGGAGTCTATTTCCATTGTCAGATCCAGTGTTTAGGCTGGATTCTATCCTGAAATGAGACTTTGAGTGCCAGTGGGGTTTCTTTGGAGGTCATCCCAGGAGGCTCCCATCAGGAAGGGGGAAAGTAACTGGGAAGCTAGAGAAGCCAATCCCAGGTGCATGAATAAGCAGGTTAGCACAGGGACGAAGGGGACTCAAACCCACAGAGGACCCTTGTGGAACAAGCCTCAGAGTTGTCCTGCCCAGGAAGCAAGGAAATAGGTATGTACCACTAAATTTTCCGTACGATTGGGAGAAAAGGGCTATTCCTAGGAGTGTTAACTCCCTGGCACTTCCAAACTGCCCCATGCACCCGAGCTAAGAGAAGCCCCAGGCAGAGAAATTTGGACGCTTTCACTAGGAAGCCACTGTCTTGTAGAGGGGATGATGAGCTGGAAGGGGATACGGGTTTGCGGCTGACAACATCTACAGTATATGATGTTGTTTTGGGGTATCTAGCACTCTGGGGTATCTAGTGCTCAGGTATGGTTTATAATGAGATTCTCAGAATAGCTTCCTCTTCTATAGAAGAGGAAGGGGCGCCTGGGTGGCTCAGTGGGTTAAGCCTCTGCCTTCCACTCAGGTCATGATCTCAGGGTCCTGGGATTGAGCCCCGCATCGAGCTCTCTGCTCAGCAGGGAGCCTGCTTCCTCCTCTCTCTCTGCCTGCCTCTCTGCCTACTTGTGATCTCTCTGTCAAATAAATAAATAAAATCTTTATAGGAGAGGAAACTGAATCTTAGCATCAATGCTCTTAACATCTCATCATGCCTGTTTATTTGAACAGGCCAAGCTGGTTCATCCCCTGAATGATAATACTCCATGGCATTGTTTATGTTCTCTGCTCATTCACTGGCTTCCTAATATCTCTGTCCCACCAAGATTCCTTGCTTTTATCCTGAAGGTTTTCCTTTAGCATCAGTAAAGTAAATTTACTTTGCAGTCAGCACATAGCATATTTAAGAAAAAGCGTTTGCCTTATATGTTAAAGGAAGTATAATTACTCCCTCCAAGGGAATCTTCTGGCTGTTTACAAACCCTGGATTATAATTGGTATGCAGCTGATTGTCACAACAACCAAGAGAAAACACACCGCAGTCTGTGCTTCTCGGGGAGGAAAGCCTTCCTCTGAGTCCTATATACCACTATTTGGATTATTAAGTATTCCCAAACCTGCTCCTCTCTGGTGGAATGTGGCGAGAGCCGTGCTGCAAGGCACCCCTCCAAATAAACACAATAAATCTATTTTCAATTTGTAAAATTGCTTTCTTGGGCATTCACTCACTTTAGAGCTTCGGTTGGGAAATAGCTTACATTGTAGGGCGATGTTGAACAGCGGCCGCCTCTGGTGGAACTCAGTATTACAGCTCAGCTTTATAGACCTACCTATGGCCTGAGAACAGCCTTTGAGAGAAGTGTAGACTTAAATTTAGGAATCCCTCAAGGTACTGGTCATCTGAGGGAGTGGCCAATAGAGGTGAGGTCTTTGAATAGGAATATATGGGAAACAATCATAGTGCAGTTTTAGCAGTGGTTTCCTAAATAACTTGGAATGGTTCCGTAACTTTCCTGAGAAATATGTCACCTATGGCAAGCCGTCAATGTCTTTAGCTATATCCTTCAATAATATTTATTTTCTTGGGGCACCTGGGTGGCTCAGTCAGTAAGTGCCAGACTCTTGATCTCAGCTCACGATTTCAGGGTCCTGGGATCAAGCCCCAAGCAGGCTCCACACTGGGCGTAAAGCCTGCTTGGGATCCTCTCTCCCTCTGCCCTTTCCATTCTCTCTCTCTCTCTTTCTCTCTCTTAAGAAAAGTTTTAAAAAATTAATATTTATTTTCTTGTATTTTCCTCAATACAAGTAGGATCATTTATTATACATAACTTATATTATTTAGTCTACAAAATAATCCTGTACCATAGGTACTATTATTCTTACATGGGAGGAAATTTAATATAAACTGAATAACTTTCCCAAGGTCACCAACTTAGACTGGGTAGAGATGCGACTTAAGTGGGAGCCATTTGAGTCTAAAATGTGGCTACTTACCCACTATGCTATAATGTCTGTAGTTTTATATGCTGTTAGAGTTTCGAAATGCCACTGAATGGGTCAAGAGGAAGGAGACAAATTTAGAAGGTCAATGCTGAAGAAAGGCAGCAGATCCTGGCCATTGAAAACTCTTAGTAAAATCCAAGGGCTCTTATGGAAGGATGTGGGCCATAATGTCCTATAGTTTGTGTTGGTGTAATTTAAAAGATAATGGAGCATGATTGCCATGGGCACAGAATTATTTTCAGAGAAGCACTGGATAGGTTTGCAGCCCATCCTGAATGGGGTAGAGTAAGCTTCCTAATTATATCTCATAGGACCAGTCACAAGCGACTGAGTCTAGATGTGTCAGAGGAGACAAAAAAGTGAACTGACATTTATTCATCACCTTTTGCGTGCTGGCCTTGGGCTATTGCTAATACTGCAGGTAGAGTGGTGAATGAGACGAACATATTCCTGGTCCTAAAGCGGCTGCATGCGTCCCACAGAGACACATATTGGTTGAGGTTGGGTTCCCCAGAAGCAAACTTCTCTTCATTCATTTCATTCTGAAAGCAAATGACTTATTTGAGTGGTGGTTCCAGGACATAGGGGTCTGTGGAAA